GCTCACGAAAGCTCATGCTCAAATAAATTGGTTAGTCTCTAAGGTGCCACAAGTACTCCTTTTCTTTTTGCGAATACAGACTAACACGGCTGTTCCTCTGAAACCTGTCAAATAAATTGGTTAGTCTCTAAGGTGCCACAAGTACTCCTTTTCTTTTTGCGTATAAACTTGTATTACTGATGTAGTGATATTAAGTGGCAGCCATTAAGGGTGCTTCAGAAACAATGAGTTGTGAATGGCCTTGTTTACCTACAAGCCTTCCTGTGTGCTTGGGGGCCAGCCCAGGAAGATTGGTGGCTAGGGTCTTACAGAGACATGTGACCATGTCACCTGATACTGGAATCCATCTTAAATCTGGTATTTTTCCAGATGGGAATGGCTAGGGGGTCAAACCAAACAAAGGTTTCCCGCCTTGGGGAAATCCTACATAAGGCGGAGGAAGTAAACAATGATTGTCTTCAGCTGGCTTAAGAGATGGCCTCCCCACCCCAAAGAGATACCTGAAAGCACCTGGAAACAAATGGACTGTAACCACAGGGGTGGGAGAGATTGGCTGGACCCAGGCCACAAAATACATCTTTGGCCTGAGAAGGACTTTTCCTGAAATAACATCTAGGGTGAGAAGCTATTATTTGTAACCACTTTCTTAGTATATTAAGCTGAGCCTTCCGTGTTAGTTTTATTTTACTTAGTAACTCACTTTGTTCGGTCTGTAATCTTCTTATATTTACTTAAATCCTACCTTTTATTCTTAATAAAATTACTTTTATTTATTAATAAACCCAAATGTAAGGAATTGTTACCGGGGGGGTGGGAAGAAGCTGTGCATATCTCTCTTTCAGTGTTAAAGAGGGTGGACATTTATAAACTTACCCTGCATAAGCTTTATGCAGAGCAAGATGGATTTATCTGGGGTTCAGACTCCCAGAAAGGCTGTGTGCTAAGCACTGGACAAGTCCCTATTAACTGAGAAGCCCCAGGGCTGAGTGTGTCTCTGTGTCTGTGCTGGAGCTAAACTGGAGTGTCTAGCTCTGCAAGACAGAGCTGAGGGGTGCCCATTCTGGCAGGGGGGTTATTCTCAGCGGTGTTCCAGCGCATTAAGTTACAGTCTCAAGGGGTTTCTGTGACCAAACGCATCACAACCATGATCAAGTCACCTCTCGATTTTCTTTTTGGTAAATTTACCATGTTAAGCTCATTAAGTCTTTCACGATCAGCTTTTTCCTCAAGCCCTTGAATAATTTCTATGGCTCTTTTCTGCATCGTCTCCAAGTTTTTCAACATCCTTTTTAAAATGTGGACACCAGAGCCACATGCAGTATTCCAGTACTGGTCTCACCAACACCATATTCAGAGGTGAAATCACCACCTTGCTCCTGCTCACTTCTCCCCTGTCTATACATCCACGGATGACATCAGCCCTTTTACCCACAGCATCACCCCAGGAGTGGAGCTGTGCCCCCTCACTCAGGGTATCCCTTCCCAGGGGAACCCCAATCCCCTAAACCCACCTTGCCTCAGTGGCTACTGCCAGTCTTCATCTAGCCCCCTCTCACTGGAGCAAACTGCAGTCTGTAATGGCCACTCATCATTGGCAAGGGGGTTGGACCTGCTGCCTTTCCCTGCAGCCCCAATACCTCCCCTGGCCTTTAGCCGGGACTCGCCTGCCCTTCCCCAGCACAGCACAGCTCTGCTCGATGTACCCTGTACCATAGCCGCCAACTCCATGGGTGCTCCGGGGCTGGAGAAAAATTAATGGGTGCTCTGCACCTACTGGCAGCCAAGCTTCCCTCCATAGGATTGGAAGGAACCTCAGGAGGTCATCTAGTCCAACCCCCTGTTTTTTGCCCCAGATCCCTAAATGGCCCCCTCAAGGATTGAACTCACAACCCTGAGTTTAGCAGGCCAATGCTTAAACCACTGAGCTATCCCTCCCCCTGAGTGCCATGCCTTTGCTCCTCCACCTACTTCCCAGTGCTTGCCGCCACCAAACAGCTGTAGCAAGTTCCGGCAGGAAGTGGGGAGGAGGCAGGGCCAGGGCGGGGATTTGGGGAAGGAGTCGAATAGGGGCAGGGAGGGGGAGGAGTTGGGGTGGGGACTTTGGGGAAGGGGTTGGAATGGGGGCAGGGCAGGGGTGGAGTCAGGGTAGGGCCAGGGGCAGAGGGGGTTCGAGCACCCACCAGCGCCATTAGAAGTTGGTGCCTTTGCCCTGTACTCCCAGTCAGCTAGGCCCTTCTCACTCCAGGGCTAGAGTGAGCCTGACCCAGCTCCTCACTTAGCCCTTATATCGGGGCCAGCTGTGGCCTGATCCGGTGTGGCCACAGCTGTGGCTGCCTTTCCAATCAGCCTACTTCAGCTGCCTTTTACCGTTTTCCTAGGAGCTGGGTAACAGCCCTGCGACTCCCCATCAGTGTAAATCTCTCTCCACTCAGCCTCAGGACTCTCTGTTTTGGACATTGCTAACTTTCACCCAGTGCAGAGGGCACCGGATCTGAGCAGGCTCAGGGAACTCTGGCCCTGGGATGAGTGACACCCTACAGTGATGGGCATCCATGAGGTGCAGAAGTGGGGGATGGGGCATAGAGAAGGGGCCAGAGTTTGGGCCCCTCAGTGGCTTCTTGGTGTAGCTCCATAAACACACAGATCTGCCCTATCCTGATGCCTCCCCCACCAGGGGAGTGCTAGGGGCTGCAGGGCCAGGGCTGGACTCAGTGTTTTAACATTTCAGCTAAACTGCTGCATTCTGCAGGGCTCTGAAAGCAGCAGCCTTGTGGGGACAAGTCTCCCCCAGGATCAGCATCTCAGCCAGACGATGCCTGAGGCCCTGCAGCGCTGACCCTGCTGCCTCTACCCGGGGCATTCTCCTGGTTTTGTTATTACAGGTTTCAGAGTAACAGCCGTGTTAGTCTGTTTTCGCAAAAAGAAAAGGAGTACTTGTGGCACCTTAGAGACTAACCAATTTATTTGAGCATAAGCGTTCGTGAGCTACAGCTCACTTCATAGCATCCGATGAAGTGAGCTGTAGCTCACGAAAGCTCATGCTCAAATAAATTGGTTAGTCTCTAAGGTGCCACAAGTACTCCTTTTCTTTTTGTTATTACAATGTGCGTTGCACACAGGGCTGGACTGAGGCCACCCAGGGCCCAGGCTCCACACCCTGACACAGGATCCTGTTGTGAACCTGCCCCATTGGCTGTGAAAGGGGTCACCCACCCAAGGGCTGTCTGCTGGGGGTGGGGCCTGCAAACCTCCTTGGCAGACAGGGGGAACAGCTGGGGGCTCCCTCTCTTTGGGAACACTGAGGGCAGGAGGAGGGGGGTCCCTCTCCTTGGAGAGAGAGAGAGACAGGATCAGGGAGCCCCCTTCCCCACTGTACTGACCCAGGAACTGGAGTGTCTCTGCTTGGGTTGGGGGACAGAGCCACTCAGCTCTCCTCTTCCTGCCACACACACAGCCTTCTGCTAGGGTGCAGTTGGCAAAGCAGGTTAACACCCTATATGGACACATGACAATTACCTGTCAGGGCAATCGGCTTAGACTCTCTTCAGACTCAGGCAGGTGTCACAGCATCTGCCACACAGGGACATGTTTTCAGTATTTTCTTTGCAACCCTAATAGTTGAAACATGCTTTTCTTTCCCATGGAAGCCAAGATCCTGATGTAATCACATGTTTTCAATCGCCAGGGCTAGACATGGTCCTATAGGGCCTCTGCTTCATCTGGCCCTGCCTCCTGCTGTCCCCACCAATCAGACATGAAGACTAATGGCTGTTTATCACACACATAATGCCCCTGCAGGTGAAACTCCAGGAAGCCCTGGGCCCCCTGAGGAAGGAGCTGGAAGAGGCCCTAGAGCTGATGTCTAAAGAGCAGAAGAAATCCATGAATTGGCAGGTGAGTGTCTGGGTTTATCCTTCCTGGAGCCCTTCTCCCTGCAGCGTTCCTGGGGATGCAGAGCCGTAAAGCTTCAGGCTGAGGTTATAACCTGCTCTGGCTGTTTGCCCCGGGATGGTGCCATGGTTCCTAGAGCAGGAATCGTGTCTGGTGGGGATCCCAGTGCAGCAGCCCTGGGGGGAGGGACAGTTCCTGGCCCGGGGGTAGTGACACAGACTCACCCCAGGGCTCTCCATACACCCAATCCCCACTCACTGCACAGCCACTGTCGCTGCACCCCGACCTCTGCACCCACCCCCGCGTACTGCACACACCCCACCCAGAGACAGTTCACGCTGCACCCACCCACCCACTGTCCTGTACACACGAACAGAAGCCCTCGTCCTGTCAACGCCAACACACGCACTCTGTGTTAGAGGGAAGCTGCCCCTGACATGCTAAATGTTGTGGATTCAGTGTGGTAGAGAATGGAAAGTCACTCAGTGGTTTTGCATGTGATGTTAATCCAGCTCCCTGTCTCTCTGTCTCCTTTCAGGGTGTGAAAAGTGCATTGATCAGGTCTGTGCCCATTTCCATTTCTCCTTCTGTTCCCATGAGCGATGTGGGTGCAGAGCAGATAAGTGATGATGGGACGTTTTCTTCACAGGAGGGAGCATGTGACACTCCAGCCACCAGAAGCCGTTTCTCCTGCCCTGAAGAACGGGTATAAAATCTGCTTTGACATGAGGGAAATGCTGGCGAGATTCACCCGTGAGTGAGAGCTGCCGGCTGGGTTTCCTTTATAGGGAGGAGAATTGACTTGTGTTATGGATGGGGATAAATGGTGAGGGGGCCATATTGCGACTGGCAGCCTGGTACAGCAGCAGCCCCCACACCAAGGCCGGCTGAGCTCTCTGAGCTGGAGGAGGGGGATCAGGAGGTCTCCCTGCTCCACTCTGCCCTGCTGCTCGGCCGTGTTTGACTGGAGGACAAGCTGGTGGCTGCGCCTGTGCTTGGAGCCTGGCGTGTTTAGACATTTGGGGGCCGGGGGGAGGCTCCGAGACTCTCAGCGCTGACTGAGCTCTGCCCCAGGGACGTCCACGCTCTAGGGTTTGTCTGTACTCCACTTGAATTATCCCAGCATTGTTACAGTGGTACTGCCCTGTGATGGGAAGGGGAATAGGCTGTACTGGTGTAAGGCATCTTTATCCTGGTGTCACTGTGTCCACCCGAGGGGCTGCACTGGTTCATCCATATCGGTAAAACTTCATCCCCCAACTGACATGGTGACTCTGGCACAAAATCTGACCCGTTGTGTCCCAGGCCTTGAGAGACTCACTAGCTGCTCCAGGCTGGCCAGGCCCAGGGGCTCCAGCAGGACCGTAGGTGAGGGGGGCGTGGAGGGGCTGCTGCCTTTCTGCCTGGCTGAGCCCCCCTCTCTGCCGCTGCCTCTGGTGCTGCGCTCGCAGGCTCAGCCCGTGCCAGGGCCCATGCGGCACCAGGAGGCTCTCAAGCTAGTTTGTGAAGAGGATCAAACCCCCATCAGTGTGGTGTGTGACAGATCCCGGGCGCACCGAGCTCGCACTGTGGTTGCCATAGAGGAAGCTGCCCAGGAGTACAAGGTAGGGAATTGCTGTCCAATCTAATGGGTAATAACTTTGGATTTTAATTACAGGTTAATGTTGGCAGAAATTGCCTGACACAGGTGTAATTTGTCACTCAGCTGTGTGTAGCCTTCGTTGTTATATCAGAAGCTGTACAAATTAATGATACTCCAGCCTGGTCAGAAAGGCAACAGAAGCAGATTTTAAATTCGGCTGATGTGGGAAAGTTTTCTCTGAGCAGCTGAATCCTTTTCGAAGCCAGCTCCCACCAGTGAAATATGGGAACTCTCTCAGACCAGAAGCTGTGAAATGAGGAGTGAGGTTTGATTCACAAGAGCTGCAGGCCAATCTATGTGAGAGTGCTGCCCTCAGGCTGGAGAAGGGGTGGGGTGGGTGTTACAAACTGTGGCTGTTATTATTGATTCATCACAGATTTTATTATTGTGATTTGCTTCCCAGCAGCCTCTACGATCTACCCCAGATGAGATCTAACCTCGACTGTGGGGGGCCCAGCACAAAACCCAGTGAGGGACAATCCCTGGCCAGAGCCATTTACAGTCTGACAGGACAAAACAGACAAAGGGTGGAAGGGGAAACAGAGGCACAGTGAGGGGAAGTATCAGAGGGGTAGCCGTGTTAGTCTGGATCTGTAAAAGCAGCAAAGAGTCCTGTGGCACCTTATAGACTAACAGACGTATTGGAGCATAAGCTTTCGTGGATGAATACCCACTTTGTCGGATACATGAGGGGAAGTGACTTGTCCAAGGTCCCTCAGCATGTCAGTGGCAGAGCTGGGTATAAAACCCTGGTTTTCCGAGGTTCAGGCTAGTGCCCTAACCACTAGGCTATCTAGTAGGACCTACAGTCATCTCAAATCTTGTGTTCTGGGTGGAAAACCAACCCCTACAAACACACGGTCAACCCTCAAAATCAAACCACCAAATCATTTCTGTTTGTCAGGAAAAGATCCAGGCCCGTTTGAAGTCTCTGAGGGAAGAGAGAGAAAAGCTCCTGCGATTGAAAGTAAATGGAGAGAAAAGAAGCCAGGAGTATCTAGTAGGTGCCCATTGTTTTTCACCTGCTGGGACATGGAGAGGGGAGGTTTGTTGGTAGATTTCTGTGTGGTGTGGGGAATGTGGGCTTGTGTATGTTTCTCTATGATCATGGGATACTCTGTGTGTGTGTGTGTACACACATGTGCATCACATATGTTCTCTCCTTGGAGGAGGACAACAGCATCTTCTGCAGCATCTAAAATGCATTTTAATTAACAAGTTAATTACTGTCCCCTGTGGCTTTCACAAAACTTCTTCCAAACTGCACTGACTATATCCCAGCAGTGCTGTGTGCCGGCGTCTGCCGTCATTTCTTGTATTTTTCTAATCATTTAATCATTTCTTTATTTTTTCTCCCTGATAATTCTATCAGTGTAGAGCTGAGTTCTGTTACCTGTTGCTCTGGATCTGGCATCTCAGGGTACGCCCACACAGCCAGCAGCAGTGAGCCTCCAGGTCCTGCTCAGCAGAGCTGGACTCATGAGACTCGCAGTAAAGCACTAAAAATAACTCTGTAGACAGCACTTTTAAACTGCAGCTCGGGTGGGAGCTCAGGCTCTGAAGTCCACCCCCTTCCCTCCCTAGGCTTCAGAGCCCAAGCTCCAGCCCCAGGCCCAATGTCTACACAGCTGTTGTTAGTGCGGTAGCGCGAGCCCCAAGAGCCTGAGTCTGTTGCCCTGGTCTCTGAGGCTCACTGCTGTGGGCTGTGTAGACGGACCCTCAGAGGCCACTGGGAACACAGTGTCGGAGCCATGTCTGACATGGAGACATCCCTTTAAGGGATATTGGGGCCAAATGGGAAGCTGTAGGAAAATCCTCTCCCTTGGAATCCCAAGGGATACTCAAGTGTCAGGATGTGAAGAATCGCAGATTTCAAACCCCAAACCACAGGTCCCAGACTGTCACTGCATCCTATCGGCTCTCCGGAGCCAGCAGGGGAGGGGCTAGTGGAACTCTGGCCCACCAGAGGATCCACCTGCGAAGCTCCTGATTGGAGCAGGCATTCGAATACATGACTTACGCCAGCAGGCATCACAGGAACTTGCCCACGCTACTGAGTGCACTCTAGATCGGCTGCTAGCCTGGACCCGGACAGTGGCTTGGCCCTGGCATAGTTCCTGGCTCAGTTTGACCTGCAGTACCTCCGGCCCTGGACTTTCCTGCTTTCCAGTTACTTACTGTAAATAAAGCATTACAAACCATTCTTCCTGTTCATTCCACTTTCATGTCCCAGCTGCAGTTGTTGGGATTTGCTTCCTGACCTGGTTGTATCTCCCCAGCACCCACAAGGAATATTGGGAGAGTTTGGGTTTTACTGTGGTATGTTATTGTCCAGCCCGTGCTCGGTCTCTTGCCCAGGAATTGCTTAGCTGTGCTCTGCGGAGAGGTGCAATCCAGGGAGGGACTTAAGCACGGCAATGCTGAGCATCACAGGGTCTAGTTTTTAGGCAGTTAGAAAATCACAGGAACAACACTGTGATCCACAAAGCAGAGTTAGGGGCCTAAACTCCCTGTACAATGCATGGGCATTGAAGGTACCTCGCAATGTGATTCACAAAAGCCAATTCAGTAGGCAGGGAGCCATCTAAGCCAGTCAAGGGAGAAGCTGACAAAGGGAGAAGGGTGTCCTAAGCCTTTCCCACCTCTCACACATAGATGGCTAAATCTGGGCTGCAAAGGGGCATGAATCTCTACTTAGCAATCCAGTACTAACACTCAGGTGACCCAAACTGGTATCCAGCCATGCATTTGTCAGTGAGGCCTAGGGGTCTGGGCCTCAGCACACCACATTTCCGCCCTGCCCCCCGTGCTTCCCCTGCCACCGAACAGCTGTTTGCAGTGCTCTGGGAGGAAGAGGGAGGAGCTGGGCCGCAGCGCACTCGGGGGAGGAGGCAGAGAAGAGGCGGGGGTGGGGCCTTGGGGAAAGGGGTGGAATTGGGCTGGGGCGGAGCAAAGGCAAGGCCTCTGCACTCCCCCTACACATACCCCCTCCAGCCCCCTGCCGTGAGCCGCTCAGGGAGGGAGCACCCCCACGACCCCAGTCCACACCCCCAGCCCCCTGCCCTGACTCCTGCACCTCCCACCCTGAGCACCAAACGGGAGTTCCTGCACCACCCCCACACATTCCCACCTGCACCCCTTGCACCAAATGGGAGCTGCCCCAGATAAGCGCTCCACACCCCAACCTCCTGTCCCAACCCTGAGCCCCCTCCTGCATCCTAACTCCTGGCCAGACCCTGCACCCCAAACCCCAGCCTGCTCCTGCACCCTAACTCCCTCCCAAACTCTGCACCCCCAGCCCTGACTCCTGAACCCCCTCACACATCCCCAGCCCCCTGCCCTCCCTGACTCCTGCAAGCCCCCACACCCCCAGCCATGACTCCTGTACCCCCTCACACACACCCAGCCCTGACTCCCGCACCCCCTCACACCCCCCAGCCCCCTGTCCTTCCTGAATCCTGCACCCGCCCACATCCCCACTTGCACCCCTCACATCAAATGGAAGCTGTCCCAGGTAAGCACTCCACACCCCAGCCTCCTGCCCCAACCCCCAGCCTGCTCCTGCACCCTAACTCCCTCCCAGACCCTGCACCCCAATGTTTTTTTACATTTCTTTTAAACACTCTTATCCAAAGCGCTTTACAATAGTTAGCTAACGGTACAAACAATATTTGGAAAGATCATTACGTGGTCCACCGAGACCCCCAGCGATTTTCAAGTGGTCTATGGAAAAATAAGTTTGACGACAAGAACAATCAAGGTCCCTCACTTTATTTTCAGTTACTGGCTATTACTGATAGGAGGAGGAGGAAGGAAAGAAAGAAAGAATGAAAAATGGGGGCTGGGGGGGAGATAAGAGAGCGAATGTCCAGCTCTGAGACTGTCAGCTGCCCCGGGAGCAGAGCTGGGGCAGGGAGGGGCTGCTGGTGCAGTCACTTTCCTGCACGGCCCCAGCCCTTTCCCCCGGGGCTCTCCCCTCACCTGCTGGTTCCGGCTCCGGGCATTCAAAAACGATGTTGGAAAGTCGAAACAGGGTGTCAGTTTCATAAACGGCGTAAGTGCCGTTTGTCATAACTCGAACGTCGTAAATTCAAGGCCTGCCTGTATAACAGAATAGGAAAGGACACGAGATGTTTTCCATTCTAGAGGAGAGACTCTGTCAGCAGAAGTGTCTCATGAAAAGAGCATCCCAGCTTTTGAAACTGGAGCCAGATCCTACAAAGACTTTAGTGTGACTATAACTTTACACACTTTGTGCCACTAAAGGGATGTTAAGAGTTTGCAGGGTCAGGGCTCTTAACTGTAAACCCCTTGGGTCTATTCACTCAGCATCTCTACAGAGCTCAGCACAATGAGGCCCTCATCCTCCTTACACTGAAATACAAATAATAAAATCATTTTATAAGTGTGGAAATTCGAGCTGGGAGAGGGTCGGCTCAATGGGCCAGATTCACTCTGAACTGGCAAAGGGACAGAGGGGGCAGTTTGTGACTCCCCTATTCAGTAGCTGCAGAGGCCTGTGCAGACCTTGGCACAGGCTGGGGAAGTCCTGAGATCCAGCCAGACTAGCACCCATTTCTCTGACCCCTAGGGGCTTTGCAAGTTCTGTAACTGGGAGAGAAAATCAGGGACCCAAAATTAGGCCATTTTGCTAAATTTGGGCCTTGATGTCGTGGCCTCTGGTAAGTCATGAATTAATGTGAGACATCCCGACACCTGGGCCCCTGTTACACCTGCTCAATATCCCTACTTTCCACCTTTCATTCAATAGAGATGTCACATAACGATGAACCAACTGGACAGAGCCCACCTCTTCCCACAGTCTCAGAGGCTCATCCCAATTTCCCCTTGTAGAGCCCTTCTCAGTACCCTTGAACTTCCTCAGATTCTCCATTAGAGGAACAGTTTGCTGGGAGAAATCTCCATTGGCTGCTGGAACTTCCCCTTCTCACACCTGAAGAGAAAATTTCACATTCTTATTTTTCATTTAGTGACACAGCATAATCTGTTGTTTGTGAAAGTTGCTGCTCTAATGGGCCTGGAGTTAGAATCCCTCTGCTTCTTCCAGCCTCAGAGCAGGTGGAAAGTCCCATTGATATTCTACAACTATGGCCTGGAGAGACCAGCTCCAGGGATAAAAGGGGAAATGAGTCTCCATGGCCAATTCACTCCTTGGCCTCTATTCTCTGAGGGATATAAAGTTCTCATGTGGAATGCTGTAGAAATCTATCCACTAGGAACTATGCTGATACATCAACTCCCCCCTCCCCAGCTCGTTCCACACAGGTCTCCAAACAACCCTCAGGTGGGAAAGACTCTTGATCACTGTTGCCCCAGGCTGAATGGTAACCAGTGCCCCAGCAGTGACAGGCCCATATTCCATCCCCACAATCCTGAAGCAGTCAGTCCCCCAGGGATGTGACATCTCTAGAATATCATTTAGGTTAATTTTTCCCGTTCAATAGGTAATTCCAGAGTCTTCTGTACCAGGGCGAGAACCTTAGGATAAAGTTGATCAGAGAGATTTATATCCAAAATGTGACCCTGCCCCACACATTTCGCTGAAGAGCCCTGGGGAGATGTGGTGCTAACATCATCTCCAAGCCAGCATTGTGATGTGTGAGGGGGAGTGAGAGAGAGACACGTACCTGCTCAAGGTGCTTCTGAGATCCTAGAGGAGAGAGAGAAAATAATCTCAGTCCTATCTGGCACACACACGAGATCCTAGGGAAGGGATTTTGCAAATATGGGGAAAAGAGCCCCTGACCTGGCTCCAGGCCCATGGATTCCCTGAGCTAATGGGGCTTTCCCTGCTCTAATATCAATGTGTCTGTAACTCTTCAAAGAACAATAGTCATTCACATCTCAGGAATGCACACACCAAGTTACACTGAGTTCTCTGACTGCTGGACTCCAGGTATTTATGATTCAGGAGCCCTCCCTTTGCTGTGTGAGGATCTGGGATGTTTCTAACTCAGTCTCACCTGCAGGAATTCACTCGCTGGCTCCTGACCGTTCCCCTCCATCTCACTGATCAGGTTGCTGAGACAGGAAATCTCCTCAGAGAGTTTACTGGCATTGTCATTCTGTATCTTCGGAATCTCCTTTTCCAGCTTCTCCAGCCGGGCCAGCAGGAGTCGCTCTTGTTCCTCCAGGAACTGCAGCAGTTGCTGAAATTCAGACAAAATCTTCTGCCTCTCGGCCTGTGTCTGGATCTATAAGACATAAGGAAAGGGCTGGTCAGGAACATGGATGGCGCCAGAGAGCCTTTAATAGAGTCTTACAAGAGAGAATTCCTTTACAATCTCTAAGACATCTGTGTAGGGACCAGGGCACAAGCAGTCAGGTCTAGTGGTCAAAACTGGAATTGGAAGCCAGGAACTAAAACCTGGAGTCAGAGTCAGGATCTCACCAAGGGTTGGGGTCAGGGTCAAGATCAGGAGTCATGCCAAAGGCTGAGCCAGAATCAGTGTCAGGAGTCACGCGAGGGTAAGGAGTCAGACAGCCATGCGACGGGTCAGGCCGGAGTCAGACAGCAGTACTGCAGGTCAAACTGAGCCAGGGCCAAGCCACTGTCCGGGTCCAGGCTAGCAGCCGATCTAGAGTGCACTCAGTAGCGTGGGCAAGTTCCTGTGATGCCTGCTGGCGTAAGTCATGTATTCGAATGCCTGCTCCAATCAGGAGCTTCGCAGGTGGATCCTCTGGTGGGCCAGAGTTCCACTAGCCCCTCCCCTGCTGGCTCCGGAGAGCCGATAGGATGCAGTGACAGTCTGGGACCTGTGGTTTGGGGTTTGAAATCTGCGATTCTTCACATCCTGACACTTGAGTATCCCTTGGGATTCCAAGGGAGAGGATTTTCCTACAGCTTCCCATTTGGCCCCAATATCCCTTAAAGGGATGTCTCCATGTCAGACATGGCTCCGACACTGTGTTCCCAGTGGCCTCTGAGGGTCCGTCTACACAGCCCACAGCAGTGAGCCTCAGAGACCAGGGCAACAGACTCAGGCTCTTGGGGCTCGCGCTACCGCACTAACAACAGCTGTGTAGACATTGGGCCTGGGGCTGGAGCTTGGGCTCTGAAGCCTAGGGAGGGAAGGGGGTGGACTTCAGAGCCTGAGCTCCCACCCGAGCTGCAGTTTAAAAGTGCTGTCTACAGAGTTATTTTTAGTGCTTTACTGCGAGTCTCATGAGTCCAGCTCTGCTGAGCAGGACCTGGAGGCTCACTGCTGCTGGCTGTGTGGGCGTACCCTGAGATGCCAGATCCAGAGCAACAGGTAACAGAACTCAGCTCTACACTGATAGAATTATCAGGGAGAAAAAAATAAAGAAATGATTAAATGATTAGAAAAATACAAGAAATGACGGCAGACGCCGGCACACAGCACTGCTGGGATATAGTCAGTGCAGTTTGGAAGAAGTTTTGTGAAAGCCACAGGGGACAGTAATTAACTTGTTAATTAAAATGCATTTTAGATGCTGCAGAAGATGCTGTTGTCCTCCTCCAAGGAGAGAACATATGTGATGCACATGTGTGTACACACACACACACAGAGTATCCCATGATCATAGAGAAACATACACAAGCCCACATTCCCCACACCACACAGAAATCTACCAACAAACCTCCCCTCTCCATGTCCCAGCAGGTGAAAAACAATGGGCACCTACTAGATACTCCTGGCTTCTTTTCTCTCCATTTACTTTCAATTGCAGGAGCTTTTCTCTCTCTTCCCTCAGAGACTTCAAACGGGCCTGGATCTTTTCCTGACAAACAGAAATGATTTGGTGGTTTGATTTTGAGGGTTGACCGTGTGTTTGTAGGGGTTGGTTTTCCACCCAGAACACAAGATTTGAGATGACTGTAGGTCCTACTAGATAGCCTAGTGGTTAGGGCACTAGCCTGAACCTCGGAAAACCAGGGTTTTATACCCAGCTCTGCCACTGACATGCTGAGGGACCTTGGACAAGTCACTTCCCCTCATGTATCCGACAAAGTGGGTATTCATCCACGAAAGCTTATGCTCCAATACGTCTGTTAGTCTATAAGGTGCCACAGGACTCTTTGCTGCTTTTACAGATCCAGACTAACACGGCTACCCCCTCTGATACTTCCCCTCACTGTGCCTCTGTTTCCCCTTCCACCCTTTGTCTGTTTTGTCCTGTCAGACTGTAAATGGCTCTGGCCAGGGATTGTCCCTCACTGGGTTTTGTGCTGGGCCCCCCACAGTCGAGGTTAGATCTCATCTGGGGTAGATCGTAGAGGCTGCTGGGAAGCAAATCACAATAATAAAATCTGTGATGAATCAATAATAACAGCCACAGTTTGTAACACCCACCCCACCCCTTCTCCAGCCTGAGGGCAGCACTCTCACATAGATTGGCCTGCAGCTCTTGTGAATCAAACCTCACTCCTCATTTCACAGCTTCTGGTCTGAGAGAGTTCCCATATTTCACTGGTGGGAGCTGGCTTCGAAAAGGATTCAGCTGCTCAGAGAAAACTTTCCCACATCAGCCGAATTTAAAATCTGCTTCTGTTGCCTTTCTGACCAGGCTGGAGTATCATTAATTTGTACAGCTTCTGATATAACAACGAAGGCTACACACAGCTGAGTGACAAATTACACCTGTGTCAGGCAATTTCTGCCAACATTAACCTGTAATTAAAATCCAAAGTTATTACCCATTAGATTGGACAGCAATTCCCTACCTTGTACTCCTGGGCAGCTTCCTCTATGGCAACCACAGTGCGAGCTCGGTGCGCCCGGGATCTGTCACACACCACACTGATGGGGGTTTGATCCTCTTCACAAAGCAGCTTGAGAGCCTCCTGGTGCCGCATGGGCCCTGGCACGGGCTGAGCCTGCGAGCGCAGCACCAGAGGCACATTGTGAAGAGAGTGGTCACTTTGGATGGGCTATCACCAGCAGGAGAGTGAGTTTGTGTGTGTGGCGGGGGGAGGGTGAGAAAACCTGGATTTGTGCTGGAAATGGCCCAACTTGATGATCACTTTAGATAAGCTATTACCAGCAGGACAGTGGGGTGGGAGGAGGTATTGTTTCATGGTCTCTGTGTGTATATAATGTCTTCTGCAGTTTCCACGGTGTGCATCCGATGAAGTGAGCCGTAGCTCACGAAAGCTCATGCTCAAATAAATTGGTTAGTCTCTAAGGTGCCACAAGTCCTCCTTTTCTTTTTGCAAATACAGACTAACACGGCTGTTACTCTGAAACCTGTCATTATGCAAGGGTTAGCTGTGTTAGTCTCTTTCAGCAAATTCCCCTGACACTGTCCCCCCAGCAGCACATTCCCCCAACAGCGTGGGCACCAGGCAGAGCCAAGACCTGGCTTTTGCTCTCCCTGCCTCTCCCCAGGAAATGGAGGGGTTTTTTACTATAGCCAGCCCTAGGCAGGGCACTGAGAGAATTTCTCTCCTATGTGGAGGACTCTCTGATGGCCAATGTGGTGTTAGCTCCAACTGCAGCATTTCCCATGCTAGGAACATCTGAGGGGCTCTTCCCTGTGTGGGTTTTCCCATGCTTAATAACGCTTGAGCACTGACTGAAACTGTTCCCACAGTCCAAGCATTTAAAGGGTTTCTACCCCATATGTGTTTTCTAATGTAACGGGCTGATGGTGCACTGAAACTTTTCCCACAATAAAAGCACTTATATGGCCTCTCTCCTGTGTGGATTCTCCCATGCTTTATAAAGCCAGACTGCTGAACAAAGCTTTTCCCACTGTCCAAGCATTTATAGGGTTTCTTTTCTTTGTGAATTGTCTGCTGGGCTGTGGTTTCCTGGGGACACATTCAGTGTCCTCCTGTCCCACATTCAGTGGATTCATACACTTTCTTCCATGGGCTGTTTCCCAGTTTCTCTCTGACCTGTGCTGATTACGCCAGGCTTTTCTCTGTTCCAAGCACTGGGAAAAAATACTGTCCAGCTCTTCACCATCCCCTGCAGTTCCACTTGGTCAGGACATTTCTGCTGTGGATTCCTGTCCTCATTCTCATGTCACCTGCTGCAGGAGAGAGAGAGAATCCAGGCAGGAGTCAGTTCCTGGGCTGATAGAAAGGGCACAAAGGGGAGTAGCAAAGAGGGAAAACACAACACAGTAACTGTGGGGAAGACTGAGAAATTGGATTCTGTCTCCACACCCCATCCAAACACTCCCAGGGAAGTGAAGTCAGGGAGAAAACTCCAGACAGTGAACAGGCTGGGTGGGAAGCCACGAGTGATATCTGCCATGATGATACGATACCTGCTGACCACAGCCTGAGCTGGGTGAAGTGACACAGAACTGAGGCGGGCTCACACCACATTTTGGGGATTTTCAGATTTTTCCTTCATTTGCCAGATGGAATCAGTGTCACTGACACTGATTCCTCACCTGTGCAGGTGCCTCTTGGGATGTTGCTTTCCTCAGAGGCCTGGAGATCTGGGACCCACGGCTCTTCCCCTGCTTCCAGCTGGTCAATCAGGGCAGGTTGGGACTGGGGACTCCTGCTCAGAGAGTGAAATCAAGCATGAGCAGAATGCACTGAGGATTCAGGCAGTATTTGTCACAAGTTGAGTTAAAACTGACCCTATGATTTCCTGGGGGGTTGTGGGATGTGAACAGATGGGAACATGGTCACTGAGCCCCCTTGGGAGAGGCTGATGTCTGGAGGAGGGGGAGTCCTCATACCCTCACTAGGAATTTTCAGGGTCTGTGGGCTCTGGGGGATTTGCTGAGGCACACACAGCTCTGGTGTTCAACCCCTGCTTATGTCTGAAGCCCCAGAGCCCTCCCCACACATGGAGCTAGTCCCATGAAGGGATGTGCACAGAGATCCTGCGTTTGAGTGAGAATTAATGTAGAGAGGATAATACACTGCTCCTGCCCCCGTGATAACTGGAGGGATGGGGATGAATTAGCATGTCCATTACGTTCATGACTCTCCTATTGCATTGGAGGGCATTTGGAGGTGAATGCCTCTCTCACGCTGGCAGGGTGGACTGTGTGAACCATTTCCTTGGCATCTAACTGACCAGGAAAGAACCTGACCAGCTGCAGAAATGCAGGCCCCATGGCTTCACATAGCTGAGGGGACAGTCTCATATTTCTCCTGCATGACATCCCTGTAGAGGGCTCTCTGAGAGGGGTCCAGCAGAGCCCCCCGCCCCATGGTGAAATACACAGCCACCTCCTCAAAGGTCACCGGCATCTGAAACAACAGGTGCCCCCCACTCAGTGCCTGCTGCCCCTGCCACAATCCCACTATTCATGGGGGAAGAAACACAACACTAGGACAGGTCTGGGAGGCCAGAGGAGCAGAATCCCACCCCACCCTGCTCAGAGTGGCCAGGAGGCTGCAGGGAACAGAGAGAAGGGGAGAGATCCTTGTCCCTCCCAGCAGGAGGAGTGCGGGGTCTTCCCATTTACCATCCAACTAATAGGAACAGGCGGAGGTGGGAAGCAGGGCTCTGGGCAGGGAATAAGGACAGGAATCCCAGCATCTCCCTTTTTTATTTCACTGCAGTCTCTGCTTAGGGGGTTCAGGCGCCAGCACTTTGCTCTGTTTTCCCAGCCTTGTCCAGGGGGTTATTTCCTGTTTCAGAAATGGGGGAATGTTCACACTCCCAATGGGTCTGTTCATAAATCAGGCCCTAGGCTGAGCATGTCCCAGCAGGTTTATCACACCCTGTCCCCCCCATCTCACCCTGAGTGTTTCCTGCCTCTCCCCCTCAATCCCCTACCTGAGCTGGATCCACCACAGCCATTTCCCTGCCCCAGCCCCTAGGAAGATGGGAGAGTTTGGAGCAAAACGGGGTCGTTATTCTGCAGCCTGTCAGGGTGAGAAGGGAAATTTGGGAGATTTCTGAATTAGCATTAGTCCATTTCATAGAATCATAGAATATCAGGGTTGGAAGGGACCCCAGAAGGTCATCTAGTCCAACCCCCTGCTTGAAGCAGGACCAATTCCCAGTTAAATCATCCCAGCCAGGGCTTTGTCAAGCCTGACCTTAAAAACCTCTAAGGAAGGAGATTCTACCACCTCCCTAGGTAACGCATTCCAGTGTTTCACCACCCTCCTACTGAAAAAGTTTTTCCTAATATCCAATCTAAACCTCCCCCACTGCAACTTGAGACCATTACTCCTCGTTCTGTCATCTGCTACCATTGACAACAGTCTAGAGCCATCCTCTTTGGAACCCCCTTTCAGGTAGTTGAAAGCAGCTATCAAATCCCCCCTCATTCTTCTCTTCTGCAGGCTAAACAATCCCAGCTCCCTCAGCCTCTCCTCATAAGTCATGTGTTCCAGACCCCTAATCATTTTTGTTGCCCTTCGCTGGACTCTCTCCAATTTATCCACATCCTTCTTGTAGTGTGGGGCCCAAAACTGGACACAGTACTCCAGATGAGGCCTCACCAATGTCAAATAGAGGGGAACGATCACGTCCCTCGATCTGCTCGCTATGCCCCTACTTATACATCCCAAAATGCCATTGGCCTTCTTGGGATGTATAAGTACATCCCAAGAAGTTTCCCTGTAGCCCAGCTCTGCTCCCCTGAGCCCCAGAATTCTCCCCCTGGTACCTGTGTGTTTCCCCAGTCTCCCTCCAGCAGCCCCACATCCCCGTGGCCCCCTCCCACCCGCTGCAACCCTGTTCCTCCCCTCTTCCACATCCCTGTTCACCCCCCTCCAGTCCCCTCCCACATCCCTGTTCCCCCCTCAATGCCCTCTGGCTCTCACATCCCCTGCCCATCTTCAACCCCCTTCAGGTGTAGTGTATTAAACTGCTCCCCATAGGAAAGTGTCATTACCTGGCAGCGGGGCTCGGACATCCGTTCCCCTGCCTGGGGTCATGCAGTAATTTTATTGTCAGAAGGGGGTCGCGGTTTGAGAACTACTCCTCTAGTCTAACCCCCAGCCAAAATGCAGGGTTTGTTGCGTCTGAGACAGATGGCTACCCAGCCCCCCTTTTGAAAACCTCCACGAAGAAGCCTCCGTGACCTCCTCTGTTCCACTGTCCTACTGCTTGTGAGTGAGGAAGTTTCTCCTGGGATTGACTCTAGATCTGCAGTTTGAACCCACTGCCTCTTGTCAATGTTGCTTGGAGCAGATGAAGGCCTTGGCTGTGCACTGCAGGGCCCTGGATTGGAGCCTGGAGCTGATGTGGATAGGTTGATTTTATAGAACTGCCTTCAGTTCCCCTCCAAGTCAGGTTTGTGGGTTTTTTTGCCAGTTTGCTGCCTTCGTCAATTGTCAGCTTCTAGGCATTGACTAAAGTGTTCTTGAACATCACTCAATTCTCATTCACATTTGTTCCATTTAAATTCTTCTTCTGAGCTCATTCAGCTCAATTCATTTTCCGCTTTATGAAACTGCCCTTTAAAGCACAAAATATACATGTATATTACTCACCTGGACTCTGTTCTGTGTTTGCATATAACAATGTGTTCAAGTCACAATGACTTTTAGTCAAACTACCACTGATGTTTAGTTCTCTGATCAATTCTTTCTCCGTCAGGAAGAGGTCTCATATAGCATTTGTGTGGGATGCAGCAATTTTTGAGCCAGGAAATTGTCCTCTGTGATATTTAGAAATCCCCCAAGGGGATCTGACTCCAGCAGTCTCCAGCATGTGTCACTCAGAATGAGGGGTGAAAGTAAGTCGAGGGACTTACCTATATGCTGGGGCCAGCTCTGGCCCCCAGAAGGGGCGGGACTGAGGGGGTCAGAGCCAGCCCCAGCCCACCCTGTAAGGTAAGTGCCCCACCCTTCCTCCTCCCTCTCCCCCCCCTCCCCTCCCCTCCCCTCGTGGCAGCAGCAGCAGCAGCCAGGGGCTCCCCTGTTTCTACCGCAGGTCCTTTAATTAGCCACCAGAGCCCTGGGGAAGCGGCTGGGCTCCAGCTGCCCCTGCCGCCCTAGTCCTTCAGATAGCAGCTGGAGCCCCGGCCCTTTAAATAGCCCCCAGAGGGGGCTATTTAAAGGGCCTGCAGCTCCCCTGCTTCTACTGCCCCGGCCCTTTAACTAGCCCCCCGGAGCCCCGCAGCCACTAGCCCAGGGATCCAGCAGCAGGTCTCTGGAGGCAATTTAAATTGCCCCCTGGGGAAGCCGGGCTGCCCCAGTAGGGTGCACCAGCTCTTGCCGCTTTCATCTCTGCTCAGAGTGAAGTACCCCCATCACACAGCTTTTATTCTGGCTACTCCAAGAGTCGCGCACCCTGTTCCCTGGATTGCATATTGACAGGTTTCAGAGTAGCAGCCGTGTTAGTCTGTATCCGCAAAAAGCATCCGATGAAGCGAGCTGTAGCTCACGAAAGCTTCTGCTCAAATAAATTGGTTAGTCTCTAAGGTGCCACGAGTCCTCCTTCTTTTTGCTGTTCCCTAGATCCTCCCCTCTGCCCCCGCCGCCCTGTTTTATCCGCCTCCGACCAGGGCTTGGGCCCCCGCCCATCTCTCCGCCCCATCCGCCCCGCCCTGTGGCTGCTGCAGGAAGCGGGAGGGGCTGGCGAGTGAGGGCAGCGCAGGGGGGCAGCGGCTTCAGCAGCTGTTACTGAGCCTCCGCCACCCCCTCCGCAGCCAGACTAACCGATCCCAGGGAGCGGGGCCGGGCTTCCAGCTTCCGGGCTTCCCCTCTCGTCTCTCCGCAGAGCTGGGGATGGACTTCCCGGGTCACACGCTGCCGCCGCCGCCGCCTCCATTGTGAGCCGAGCGTGGACCGAGCCTGCAGGTGAGGGGGCCCCTGGGGAAAGCGCGGGGGCCGGGCAGGGAAGTGACTCTGCCCCGAAGGCCCCTCCCCGCCCTAGCTCTGCTCCCGGGGGGTGCAAGTCCCATAGCTGCTGCCCCCCACCCCCGGACCCTCCTGGGCTCTGCCCCCCTGCGCCTGCAGGAGCCGAGCCGGCCCCGGGAGAGCGACCGCCCCGAGCCGGGCCAGGGCCCGAGTCTCCCAGCCCGAGGGGGCAGGAGGGAGCCAGGGGCAGCAGGAGCAATGGGGGGAGGGAGGTTCCCGGCTCCCAGCCCCATTCCCTGCAGCCCCCCGCCCCGGGGCAGTGACTGTCCTGGGGAGAAGGGGAGGGGCAGGGAGAGAAAAAGCTAGTTCGTGCCTCCGCCTGGTCCCCGCGCTGCTCGGGGGACGCGCTGCCCTGGGGACAGGGTCAGGGGGGTCCCCCAAAGAGGCATCTTTGATTATGCTCTTTGGCTGCACAATTTCATTCTAAAGGGACCTTTTCAGTTACTTACAAACTGCTGAAAGTCACTAGATGCACCTTTGGTCTGAGCCAGTCTGGCAGCAGTCCCTATGTTCATCTTTAGGATAGAAAGTCTCTGTCCAGAGTGAATTTGTAATGGAAACAGATTAAAAAGCACCACTTAGCCTCATTTTGAGCAAGGGGAAAATGACCCTTTTACCATTATTTTTAAAAAGTGTTATCAACTTTTGGACTAATTGGGTAGCAGAAGGATTTAGGCTGGTAACTTTATGTTTGATGCAGAGAGAATTCCTAGGTCAGACATGCTTGTCTCTCAGCTCCGGTTAAAAATGACCTGTGATGTGTGTGTTTTCTGAGGGCTCAATAGCTCTCCATTCTTCACACACACTGATTTCTTTTTCCATTTGGTAAGTTTTGTTTATTAACTTAGGATCTGATTTTGCCAACACTTCCACACATGCTTGTCTTTAGCCATCTGAGCGGCATTACTGAGTTTATTAAATCTCTGTTACTGACCAGATTTAAAAATGTCTCACAGATTTACCCCCAGTGGCAGGGCAGAGTCTGTGCTATAATCAAATGACCAAGGCCAGGAATTTTAATTACAGGACCCTAAAAGTACATTTCCAAATCCATATTCAGGCAGCGGAATAAGTGGCCTGGTATCAATAGCTCTGGACACTCAGAACTGAACCCCAGTGTTGCAGGCTCAACGTTTTTGAAACTCAGGCCACTTATTGAGATAACTGAATGTTGGGCCCTAACTTCATGTTGCTCATTTGTTTGCTTGAGCCCCAAGTAGGAATTCCCATTTCCAGACCTGACATGATCTCCTGGCTGGAGTGAAGGGAGGAGCTGTGGGTCCCCAGTCTCCACGGAGAGGGGGAAAGAGAGATAGTGAGATGTGCCTGCAGAGGTAAGGAATGGGCAAAAGTGGCTCCGAAATCGTGTTTTACATTCTCATGGCAAATGCCACTCTTGAGTTTTTATCAATCCTGTGTGCCCATGTGGAAACAAACTCTCCTAACTATCCAGATTGGAATTAGGTGGCATAATTGGTTCCCTCCTTTCTGTCTCTGGGGAAGGATTTGGGGGCAGTTGTTTGGTGTGTTTCCCCTTTACCACTCCCCTTTTGGTTTGTCCCCTTTTTTCTGCAGCACAGGGTGTGACTCTGAACTGGATTATCTCTCTGTCTCTGGGACGGTGAGTGAGACCAAGGAGGAGAATCCTCAGCTGGGAGTCTTGGAGCAGGGGGAACCACACAGGACAGTTTGGGGAGATCCTAGGAGACTCAGCCCAGGCCATACGGGCACCCGGGAAAAGAGCCAGGGCAGAGACAGCGTGAATCAGCTCACCGGAGCAGAGGGGTTGGAAAAATCAAAGAAACTGCCCAGCAGAGAATCCCCCTGGAGACAGACCCAGTATGTTTGGTGACTGTGGGAACAGCTTCCCTGGGAGTTCAGCCCATATTACTCCGCAGACAATCCACATGGGAGAAAAACGCTATAGATGTGCTGAGTGTGGGAAAAGCTTTTCTCAGAGTACTACTCTCATTAACCATCAGAGACTCCACACAGGAGAGAAGCCCTATATGTGCCCCACATGTGGGATCAGCTTTGTTCAGCTCTCACAAGTTGTTAGACACCAGAGAATCCACACGGGAGAAAAGCCCTATACATGCCTGACCTGTGGGAAAAGCTTCAGTGATAAATCACATTTCAATGAACACCAGAAGATCCACACAGGAGAAAAACCCTATACATGTCTGACCTGTGGGAAAAGCTTCCGATACAGTTCAGCTCTTACTACACATCAGAGAAAACACACTGGAGAGAAACCTTATAAATGTCCCGAGTGCCAAAAATCCTTCAGTGACAGTTCAATCTTTAGCAGGCATCGGAGGGTACACACAAGAGAGAAGCCCTTCAAATGCTGTGATTGTGGGAAAAGCTTTGGGGAGAGCTCAGACCTTCTTGTACATCAGAGAGTACACACGGGAGAGAAACCCTATAAATGCCTTGAGTGTGGGACAAGTTTCAGGGTACCGTCAGCACTTATTGTACATCAGAGAGTACACACGGGAGAGAGGCCCTATAAGTGCCTGACCTGTGGGAAAACATACCGGTGTAGCTCTCACCTTACTAAACATCAGAGAATCCACACAGGCAAGCAATCCTTGAAGTGCCCTGAATAGGGAAGGGCCAAGTGAATAACGTCTTTGCCAGTTCCCAAGAACCTCAGAGCGTCAGGCCAGGCTGGAGTGGCCGTGTAATGGGGATATGCAATGGATATAAAGCAGAGAATAAAATCCCATTCCTGGAACAGAGTCATGCAGAGCAGGAGGCTGGGATAAGATTCCCACATTGTGATGGGATTTGATTATGATTTTTCAAGACTCTCTGAATGTCCTCTGATGAACTCCTACATTTAAGTTAATTCCCCACAGGAGAGTTGGCAACCGTACCAGAGTGCTGGGCAATTCCCTGAGCTGAGCTCTCCTACAGAGAGCTTATCACAGACTCTGAGTGTTTCTATAGCTGGGCGTGTCCCTACCTGTGTGGCTGGAAAGAGGGCTTTGAGAGCCTGACCCAGCAGCACAGAGTGTGGGGGGGGCAGGCTAGGGGGACAGGCACACTCAGTGGGACCCCAACACATCCAGTGGCACCCTGGGAATGGGGGCCCAACCCGTCAGAGCACTGCACACACTTCTCCCCCAGGAAAGGAAAAGAGAACAAACAGGCTGCTTATTACACCATGGATATGTAGGGGTGCTCACGTACTGTGGGGATGAGCATGGTATAAGCACCCACACAGAATAGAGTTTATCTTATGCTCTGTAACCTCTCATTTCTACTTGATAGTATATTGTTTAATAAAATGGATACATTCAGGAGCAATAATGGTCTCCATGAGGTTTGAAATGCAATGTCCTGACCTTGGCCTTGGGATGATGGTTTATTTGTGATGTTCCTGCTGTGCAGGAGGAGGAATAACATGGGTCTGAGTTTCTTATATTCATTCATCAGGAGAGGAGAAGAATGTGAGAATGGGCTTTCGTGGGGTGAGATGGGACCTTCAGGAAAGTCTCTTTACATGTTTCTTTTAAATTACAGAGTCTAGCAGGGCTCTGCTGTTTATTCCCTATAGTTACCATGAATTCATAGATCAAGAAGCTCAGTGGTTCTCAACCCGCACCTAGTGGGCCGCTTGCAGGCTGCAGCCCAATCAGTGCGCAGCTGCAGCCCATGTGACATCCTCAGGACCATACAGGTAGTATATGTGTTGTGTGGATGCAGCCCACATAACACAGAGAGAGCTGCATATGAGGCCCACAATGGTAAATAGCTTGAGAATCACGGGTTTAGAAAGATGACTGAGTTGCTGATTGTAAGGCAATGTTTCCTCTAATTTTTTGCATCCACGCGTGTAATGAATTTTATGTGCACCACTATGGAGGTGCTGTGTGGCAGGAGTGTGGGAGGGGCTCAGGTCTGGAGCAGAGGACTGGGGTGTGGGGGTGCAAGGGTTCTGGCTGGGGGTGTTGCTCGGCTGGGGCCTGGGATGAGAGGTTTGAGGTGCAGGAAGGGTCTTAGGGCTGGGGCACAGGGTTGGGATGTGGGGGTTAGGGTTTAAGGTTGGGGTGAGTGTTAGCATTGTTAGGGTTAGGGGTTAAGGATTAGGGTAGGTTAGGGTGGGTAGGAGTTAGGGTTGGGAGAGGATAAGGGTTTAGTGTTGGTTTAGGGATTAGGGTTCGGGGTTAGGGTTAGGGTTAGAAGTTTAGGATTAGAGGGATAGGGTTCGGCTTGGTTAGGGTTAGGTTAG